TATCTACTTGACTAATTGCAGCAGCTGTTGTCTATTGTATAAACCCTTGTTTAGCATTGCATCAATCCACAGGGACAAATTCTCATGCAGGACTCTCATCTAATATAGTTGGGTTTGTGTGCTCATAAATAAATGCAGAATGTGGTCCATGGTGCACAAAATGTAGCTATGAGACTATGAATGTGTTTTAAGAATCATGAAAAACAGTGACTGTATCTTCATTGTAGTCTGTTTTAAAATATTATGAGTTGTCTATCTTGTATTAAGGTCTATATAGAGTTGTACCTTTATATCGGTCAGGGAATAAAGTCACATTAAATTACATGACTTGAGGGGTATGAGTTCAAAGAGTAGATGATCAAAAATGTGGTATAAACATTTGGAAGTTCTGTCAAAGCAAGAAATTTGAGAGCACAACATATTCCTGGGACAGAGAATTTGGTAGATAATGCCTTGTTCAGAGCAAAGTTCTGTGGAAAAAAGCCTCTGCTCTCAAACTCTCTTCCATCTCTCTTCCCAACTACCCATGGGAGTTTCCAGAACAGGATCAGTTCATCAGCTTTCACACACTCCCACACCCACCAGGTTTTCATATAGTCCATGCAGGCCCCTGGCAGGTCTATGTTTTTGCATGTGTTTCTCCCTTTCCCTGTATTTCAAAAGTTTTTTGGTAAAGTAATGCAGGACGAGCCAGAACCATATGCAATTTAATCATTCCCCACCTACCATGGATGCACATTCCACTGTAGTTCCTAAGAAATTTCCTCAAAGTCCTTGAGAGGTATGTTTATTAGTTAAACAAAACACTTTTTGTCAAAAGGTTTTTCCATCGGAAAATACTATTCAGTGAAAAAAAATTGGTGAAAACATGTCACTTTAGAAAAAAAATATGGCTAAAAACATTAGAAAAATAATTTTGAATATGTTAATATTCTGTTTGGACACTTTCCAAATGGACAGTTTCAATTTTTTGTTTTGAAATGACTTTTTTGCTTTGAAATTAAATGTATTGTGTGTGTGTGTAAATATATAGTATAGAAATGAAAAAAAGATAATCAAAATGAAATGTTTGAATTTATCAAAATGAATCATTTGATTGATCTGAAATTATTTTTTTTCTGAAATGGTTTTTTTTTCAGAATTTTGTTTTACACAAAGAATTTGAAATTTTGTCATTTAATCTCCATTCAGGATTTTTTTTAAATATCAACAAGTTTTGGTAGGGTGGAAAGTCCATTTTATGACAAGCTCTAGTGTTTATTTTCCTCAAATACATAAATATTCATATATTTCATAAAATCAAAAGTATTCTGGTAAATAAAGGTTCATATATTATGACACACTATTTAATTAATCTCATGCATACTGTATGCAAATATTCCATTCAAAACATTAGTCTTCATAGCATGTTACAACTGTGGGGTTTTTTTTTTGTTTTTTTTTTTAATTAAGGTTGCAACCAACTGCACAGAATACATATTATTTGAATGCAGTCAGAACTGATGGCTCCATCTTCTCTTTCCTTATGAATTATTTGTATCAAACCTAGCACTGACATGGACTTTAGCAGCCAGCATCAGTCATTTTGAAAGCCAGTCAGATGAAGAAAATTCTCCTTATCTTGAGGGAGTGAACATTTTCACATTTCCTTCAGTGGTTTATAAATGAATCATTTTATTGATTTAATTACTTCAGAGTAAATTATAATCAAGTCCCCCCCACCAAAAAAACTAAATGCAAGCCATGTGTACAAAGAAGTCCGATTCTTCCTATTTTAAAAATAATAATGCCCTGAAACAAAAAATATAATATGTACAGTACTTAACCAAATTGAGAGGGGTAGGACAATTATTTTTATAGTACAATTAAGACTAAAATATTGACACTGTGTGAATTGAACAGTTCATTCAACTGATTAATCCAAGTGAGATAGAAATATACCGAATAGATATGAACAGCATTGGCCTGGTTGATTTCTCTGTGGGCATCAATGCTCTGAAGAGACTAAGGTTTGCTTTCTGTCAAATTTTGCTTTATTCCTCAATGGTTGTTTTTTCTGTCATTTTGGCTTTTGGGAGCATCCTTCACCCTGCAAGTGAGAGCCGTAGATTTTTACAATGCATTTTAAATTCCCCCACACTGACATCTATTAAGTCTTCTTATTTGAGAAATGAGCTGGCAGCTTGTAAGAGTAATAACAAGTAAAATAAATGAGCCTCACTCCACAGACTGTAACAGGCCTTTGGAAAGTCTGCTGTTTTCAACATGGGAACTCATAAAAGAAACAAAATCATTCTCAATTCTTGTAAGGTCAATGGTATTTCAAAATGAATTATCCAGTCTCTCATTCCTTGTTCAGGAAAAAGATTCCCACTAAAGTTAATTGAAATCAGATTTTTCATCAGTTTGATTCTACTAGACCTAAACTCCAAAGAGTTACAGGGAATTTAAAATGTATATTCACGGCTGTTAAAGTGAAGTGATCCACCCAGTAGCTGCACATAACTCCCATGGGCAGTAAAAGTCCCATAACTTCCCATGGGAAGTTGCATGTATGTGTTGAAGGGAAAATGAATCCCTAAAAAAAAAATCACACTATATATAGAATAAATATGAATAAATTCCAGTATAATTGTAGGACAACTAAGAATTCCCAAAACACATAATTGTCTTAAGTTCAAAATGCAGATAAGATGCTCCGTATCATGTGTGCTATGCAATCCAAATTGTTTCACCAAAACGAGTCTCTCTAAGAAGCTCTGAATATTTTTTTTCAAAAAGAACAAGCAGTCTCTAATAAATAGTTAATCAGTTCTGTTTCCATCTAATAGTAACCAGCGGTAAATATATATACTAGAAAGTTTTTATTACATTCTTATTCCAAAATGTCAGAACTTGGTAATGGACTCTCTTGTTGTAATTTTTGGCTGGTATCAAACTGAATTTCAGTTACGAAAAACTCCCAAAAATATGTCTGCTACACACTATTCTTTAAACCAGTGACACTAGTCTAATACTGCTTGAACTTACTTAGCATATTATAAAAAGTAGGTAATCTGCAGTGAAACAAGCATAAGTACTGAATTTGAACCTTTTGCAAAAAATCATTCTTCTAAGATGAAAGAGACCGCTTCAGGGATAGAAGAGGTGGGTTTCTATATAATGTGGATTTAGAGACTTAATCTTTTGAATTTTCTCCTCTCAACAGTGGTAAAGAGACAGTATTTCTATTTCTTTTCTAGATAAACTTTTAACATCAGACAGGGTAGCCTTTGCATTACGTCAATAAACAATCTCCAGAAAATGGTACTGACTCAGACTGTTCAGTGGATGGAAGGCAAAGCACAAAACATGAAGCCTTAGTTCACTGCCTGGTGGTTACAGATAAAGCCTAGTCTTTTGTGGTTCTGCAAGACCCAGGGTGGCCCTCTGGTTACTGTCAGCGGGACAGTCTGTTGGTATTGAAAGACTAGCATAGTATTTTTCCCATCACTGAGTGAATGATCAGCTAGCTTCCAGCCATAATATTATATATTTAGACCTGGTAGAGTTATTTACTGCAAATAATTTATCCAATACATCTAGACTCTTCTTTCTGTTTACAAATTGTTTATGAAGAGGTCCCAAGTTTACAAGTGTGCTCTTTCTATGCACTCATTTGTCAAATAGTTTGTGTGAACAAATTTTAACTGATGGTTTGCTTACCAATAGGTTGTAATGTGTGTTCACTCTTCATTATTTATGCAATATGATTGCTCAGTCACCTAAATCACATAGGGTTGTTTCTGTTCCCTGATTGGATGATCTAAACTTTATAAATAGGAGGTATCTCTTGTTTTGTTTGTAAAGATTAGTAATAGTTCTCTTCTACAGTGTGAATAATTAAGAGTTTTTTTAAATGGTCATGAGAGCATTTTGTTGTGGGTACTTCGGCAATGCTGTAGTATTTGACATATCTTTGCTTTCCACAAATATCCAAGTGAATAAAAACTTGCTCAACCAAATGTTTCAGGTAAAAGGAAGGTTGTGAATAGCAGCACAAGGGGGACTGTTGGGTTTTATTTGCAAGAATGTTCACAAATACTTTTGTGCTGTGTTCACCCAGCTGTCTATACAACAGGAACAGCTTAATTTTTAGAGGGATCCCTCTCTTACCAAATTGCTTTGAGCTCTGTTTCATATAGGAAACCATACTGAAATATAAAAATGACACTAAAACTCTAAAACAATCTCTTAAAATGCAAAAGGAATAAATGTGTTGAATACTCGGAGGGAGACCATTAAAGGCAAAGGAGTAAACAGGTATGAGGGGAAGGTAATAAAGATGACCCTAATAGGGGTCATCTTTAAAAATGTTTCTGGATGTTTAAAAAGAGTTTTAAGGCCTTCTTTAAAAGGGAGGTTGATGAGTGTCTCAGGGGAGCAAATTCCATCAGAGGAAAGCCCAATTGCTTTGCCAGTCTAAAGCAAATGATGAGATTCCTAGAAGGCATCTATTGTGGGAACACATTGATAATCATCCGGACAGGGCTTGAGGAAGAAGTCTTGAATGTAGCCTACATCATTAAGGGGTTCGGCCACCAGTAGTTCCATCTTAAATTCAATCAACACTATTCAATGCTCAACCAACAACAATCAACACCTGTCAGGAATGGTCTAGATCAGGGGTGGGCAAAAATTTTGGCTCAAGGGCCATATCTGGGTGGGGAAACTGCATGTAGGGCCATGAATGTAGGGCTAGGGTAGGGGGTTGGGGTGTGGGATGGGGTGCAGTGTGCAGGAAGGGGCTCAGAGCAAGGCGTTGGGGTGTAGGAGGGGTGCAGCAGGGGGCTGAAGGCAGCGGGTTGTGGTGTAGGAGGGGTGCAGCAGGGGGCTCAAGGCAGGGGGTTAGAGGGCTCAGGGCAGGGGGTTGGGGTGCAATATTTTAAAATTCTGCAAATGTTATTTGCCAAAATAACACAATATAATCACACTAGTTTCAATTATTTTGGTAATTTATTTCAAAATACCTGTCAGCATGAATGTCCGTAACAATACAGACACACAGAAAAATTCCCCCAGAACTAGAGTTAAAGAAACCCCTACAACAACCCATTCCTGTTTCTCTGCCCCTTGCCTGCAGAGCCCAGATGTGGACCTGCCCCACAAGCCCATCCACTCACACCCCTTCCCCCCAGAGCCCAGCCGCTGCCACCCTCTAGCCCAGATACTCATACTCCCTACTCCCCATAGGGTCCCCTCCGGTCCAGACACTCACGTCCCTCCCCCCGGCCCAGACATTCATACCCCCTACCCTCCTAGAGCCCAGGGATCCAGAGAGAAACATCCTGATGCTGGGTCCCAGGCTTGAACAGAGTTTCCTGCACACCACCACCTCCTTCTTTCAGGGCATGCTGGGAACTGCAGCTGCTGGGAACCCTCCAGCTCCCTTGCCCTCCCCCAGGCATTGTCTTCTATTTGCAAGCTGAACTCTGCTGGGTCAGGTGGTGCCTAGTGGTGGGCAGCAGCTCTGCAGCCCATTTCTGTAGGGGGGAAAGGAAATTCTGCATGCACAACCCTATTTTCTGCAAAATTCTGCGTGGTGCAGTGGTGCAGAATTTCCCCAGGACTAATTGCCATGCCTGTAAGTATGCCGCTCTGTAACCACTCAGCGGTATAACAAACCACCTGGAAACAGTGACTTTGGATTGTGGGAGGAAGGTGGAAATCTATTCCATTCACATATCTAGTCCATTTTAATTAACGGTAGTCCATATAGTCCACGGGTGACAAAATCATTGGTCCCAAATTCAATTGAGGTTTGAAATTTTGTCCAGAAATGTTCTGAGGTGGTGAGAGTGAGGGAGTAGAAGGGTGAAGGCTTTGAAGTTGTGTGTGTTTGCATGAAGCCATAAGCAGCTAAGTCACATGGAAGCTAATGCATCATCCTGTTGATTCCCTCAGATTTCTGTCCCAATCCCGGGTGCTGATAGCTGCAAACTTTCCCTGAAGCAGGAACTCCAGATAGGTAGTCACATTTTGGGGAAGGGCATATTTTCCAGTGCCACCTTGGTAGCTGACCAGCTCACTCCACTCACAGATGTGCTGTTCAGTCACTATATTTTTGAATACTTTGGTTGCATACACTGCAGGTTTCCCACTGGCAGCTTGGAATAGCGTCTCCCTTTGCCAATCAGGCACCACAAGAACTATTATGTCTTCCAATATGTGGAAGTGCTGAAATGATAGAAAAGGTTTTGTAGCCCAGCCACTGACACCTGCACCTTCACTGCCTCCTAAACCCAACTTCTCCAATTTTTATAAAAGAAAAAACCCAAGCTTTGAATTTTTAACTTACCATTGTCTCTGAACTTCTTTTGCTGCTATTAACCAAGCTGAGTCTAGGGAACTTCTGTGGCCTGAAGCATCTTTCTCACAATATATTGAAGTTGAGTTTGGAAAAATAACATTTTATATCTTTGAAATCCCTCAAAGATTATTTCTGTGCTCCCACAGTGAGCTATTTGAGACAATAACCCTCTGTCTTGTCCTATTCCTAGACCTCTCCTTGCTGCAGTACCTGAACATCTCACCCACGCTGCAGCTGAAGCCTGGTCCAACGTGCCTTCATGGACGGTTCCAAGAAGAAGCGTTTTCTTGATGAACTTATGGTTGAAATTCTGGACAGGGCCAACAAGCAGGTCCAGAACCAAAGACAGAGGGACCGTGGCACGAGTAAAGGCTGAGTCTGGCTGCACAGCTTGAGGACAGGGTTTCAGTGTGGGAACAGGCACTTGCTTCGCAGTTCCTAGAACAGGAATGGACAGAGCTTAGCAGAAAGCACTATTTGAGCAGCTGATGTCTCTAATGGCCTCAAGTGTACCGGCTCCTGATACAGCATGTTAAATGTATAATTTTCTACATTTATTCAAAATTTACACTTCACGGGTAAAATCCTGGCCCCTCTGATATCAGTGGGGTCAGGATTTTAATAGATTCCTAGATTATAAAGTCATAAGAGACTATTGTGATTATCTACTCTGACCTCCTGTGTAACACAGACCATAATACTTCCCTGATTAATTCCTGTTTGAAGTAGAGCACCTTGTTGAGAAAAAAAAAATCCAATCTTGATTGTAAAAGTTGCCAGTGATGGAGAACCCACCATAACCGCTGGTAAGTTGTTCCAATGATTAATTATCCTGTGATGGGGTTTACAGACCCCACACTAAACCAGGGCAAGACACAAACCAGTACTGAGCTATGGGGACCCCCATCATGCTGGGGCTTCCGGGCATGCTCCTGGTGGAAAGATAATTTAAAAGGGCACTGGTAGCCCAGTGAATGGGGGGAAGTAGATATAGACTGCACCAGGAAGTAAGGGTAATGCCTAGAGCTGTGAAAGGAGTGCCTACAGCATTGTCAAGGCTAATCTGGAAGTGGTAGTCCTGGTCCCCACCTCCACCCACATTTGGGGAGTTGGAAACTCACAAGAGACTGACAAATGGGACATTGTGCCACTGGAAGACTAAGTGGATACTCCTAAATCTGTGGCCATGCCCCATATGGAGGAGCCACAATCTGGAAGGAAGGGACCCAGGGAGGAATATAACTTGGGGTGGACCAATGAGTGACCCAGACATTTTAACACCCTTCTAAGGGACCTGGGTTGATACCTATTCTCAAACTTTAAATAGGTAAGGAGTCTGGCTCACTGGCCTGGAGCCAGGCATGGAATGAGAGTGCCTAGTGGACCACTTTTGGTAAGCAGAACTGGTGCTGCAGGATGAACCAACCACCAGGTTAAGGCGCCTGATGCCGACGCTCATCAGACCCCAGAAAAGGTGTTGGTTGATATAGATAGCAAGATGGTGGCCATGGAAGTTGGAATCCATGAAGGAGTATGTAACAACTCACCTGCCAAATCAACTAGCCTTGAAAATGGATGGCACTGGAGCATCAGGTCCATACCCAGCCATAGCTGGCAATGAGAGCCGTGGGGGCTAAACCGCGATGAATACGAGGGACGCTGTGGTACACCTCCAAGCCTGGGGCCTGGGCTCGGGTGGAGCTGCCGCAGGTGCAGATCTTGGTGGTAGTAGCAAAAATTCAAAAGAGAATTTTGAAGGCCGAAGTGGAGAAGGGCTCCATGTGAACAGCAGTTGAACATGGGTCAGTCGGTCCTAAGATATAGGCGAGTGCCGTTCCAAAGGGACAGGCTATGGCCTCCATTGCCCTCAGCCAATGGAAAGGGAGTTGGATTCAGATCCCCATATCCTTCACCTCTGCTATGACCAAACCCTAAGGGGAGTGGAAGGAACACTCAGGAGGGATTGAGGCTGCCATATATGACCCAGCCAGGGTCCCCTCTGGAATGGCCAGGCTGGAAAGAACTGTGGAGCCACTGCCTGACCAGAAAGCCAGCTGGATAGTTCACTGACCTGCTGCATACCTTTTGTGTTACAAATGTATGCCTTATTTGTCTAGCTTCAACTATTAGCCATTGGATCTTCTTGTACCTTTGTCTGCTAGATTGAAGAGCCCATTATTAAATTTTGTTCCCCATGCAGTTACTGATAGACTGTAATCAAGTCACCCCTTAACCTTCTCTTTGTTAAACTAAATTTAAGAGATTGACATCCTGGAATCTATCTCTATAACTCATAGTTTCTAATCCGTTAATCATTCTTGTGGCTCTTCTCTGAACCCTCTCCAATTTATCAACATCCTTCTTGTTCTGATGTCCTCAGTTCTGGACATAGTATTCCAATAGCTGTTACACCAATCCCAAATACAGAGGTAGTATAACTTCCCTATTCCTACTCAATATTCCCCTCACTATGCATCCAAGGATCACATCAGCTCTTTTGGCCATAGTATCATATCTGGCAGTTTATATTCAGCTGGTTATCCACCATGACCCCCAACTCTTTTACAGCATCACTGCTTCCCAGGATAGAGTCCCTCATCCTGTTAGGATGGCCTACATTCTTTGTTCCTAAATGCAAAACTTTACATTTGACTGTATTAAAATGTATGTTGTTTGATTGTACCTATTTTACCGAGCAACCCAGATCACACTGTAACCAGATCACTGTCCCCTTCGTTATTTACCATTCACCCAATCTTTGTGTTTGAAAACTTTGTGTAATGATTTTATGTTTTCTTCTATGTCATTGATAGAAATGTTAAATATCATATGGCCAAGAACTGATTTTTGCTGGACCTCACTAGAAATACACCCAATTGAAACACACACACATTTCCAATTTACAATTACATTTTGAGACCTGTCCTTTAGCTAGTTTTAAATCTATTTAATACAGAAATATAGAACATAAATATGTATTGAGCACTTCTGCCTTTCCTGTATTATTATATAAAATTCTACCATTCCTAGCTAGTAATGGACCAATATCATTGTTAGGATTCTTTTTGTTCCTAATATACTTTAAAAACTCATTATTTGTATTACAGTAGTATTCACAAGGCCTCCATTGTGTTAGACACTGTTCCTCTTATTGTCCTTAAATCTGATGGCCATAGGTTTCTCCTTGTGTCCTTGTGCTTCCCTAATCAATTTTCTACACTTCTGGTTTATATTCATTACAATCAACTTCCCTTTCTTCCATTTACTTATATTTTTCTTTAAAAATTTTATACCTGTCTTTACTTCCCCTTTAAGCAAGCTTGCTGTTTTTAAACACTAGTGAAGCCTTCTTTCTCAATTGCCAGATTATGGCTTTTTCAGCATCTAATAAAGTGTTCGTAAGCAGATCCCGACTATTATGCACATTTTCCTGTTTAAACTTGTCCCCCATTATTTATTTGTTTTGTTTGCAGAGAGGAAAGTTCTCATGCAGCATTCCAAAAAGTGCTCTAATCCTATTCAGTGCCCAAGAACAAGATTGTGCACCTGTAGCCACATAAGTGGAAGAGTCTGCATATGCAGAAGTGATTGCAGGGTTAATCTTCAACGTATCAGAAGCACTGGTACCAGTGATTCTGGGGCTGTTGCACACATTTTATCTTTGGTGCTGTTAGAACTCTCTTTCAGTGGAGTTGCTATTCATACACTCTGTGAACATAAATTAGTGAATGTTCAAACTGACCTTTATTTACTTTGAATACATTTCATACTGCTGAAGGGGTAATTCACAAACTGTTTGCTCTGACGATTCATATAACGTGGAAATAGCATGCATGGTATTACTAGTCTCTAAGGTCACATGGTATTATATCTATTTTCTTATTGGATGAGTGAAGCATTCTAAACAAGAGACTAAAAAACACTGAATAATCAGCCATACACCTCTAGGGAAATTCTCAGCATTGTAATCATTTGAGCTAAAGTTTTTGAAAGTTTGTGGATTTGTGAACATTTTTTCAGGAATACCCAGAGAGGATGTGAACATTCATATGATCTCACCAAACCATGGCATAGTCACAAAAACATTCACAAATTAGTTTTCATTCTCTGCACAACAACACCCTTGAACTATTAGGGTTTGTTCTATAGATCACCAAGAGCAGAAAGAGATTGGAAAGATTAGCATTTTGTCTGCTCTCCAAAATGGTTTGAGCTATTCATTTTCTCATTGAGCTATGGTTTTAGCTACTCATTCACTCATTTTCAAATTAGTACTGAACATGACAGCATCTATATACCCCTCACATAAATGGACCTCTCTTTTGTGCCAAATGCAATGAAATCATTTGTAAGCTCTTACCCAAGAGACCAGCAAAAAATGACTGCCTAGTAGAGATTTAACTAGAGTTTAACTAAAGGTTGAACAAAAGGATACTGGAAACCTCAGGGATAATGTAAAAGTATTTGAAGAGTGTTGCATATTAGATTTTGTTCTTAGTGAAGATTTCATTGTATTAATATAACTCAGAAGAAAATAGAAGGCTTCAGCCCTGTCAGGAAGTCATTACAGGATGCAACATACTGTATTTCCGTGATTTGTCTTTGTGTTTCTCACAAAATTACAACAGACTAGGATCATGGTGTTCTTATTGATTGTGGATGTTTGACAGAGCTGCCGAATTTCAGTGGCTTTTGCATACATCTTCAATTTATCACTCAGGTAGATAGTGCCCAGGTGCATATAACTTTATACAACTACATTTGTTTAATGTTTCCTGACTGTGACAGCATTTTTATTTGATTAGCATTAGAAACAGGCATATGCCTTCATGACAGTAAAGATAGTTCTTTCACTTTGAGAACTAGCTGCTGTTTATACAGTAGCTTCAGATAACATTGACTAGTATCCAACACTGTTTCATTAACAATTGTATTCAAATCCCATTGATTAAATATTGCTCTTAGCAACTGTATAAAAATGGCACTCTTTAGTGGCAAATTATTTTATGCTGTACCATGCTTGTTAATTACTTCACTTTCTTTCCCACAAACTCTTCCAGTGCATAGCTAGAAAAAATGTGTAACATGGCTTTAACAAGAATTCGATATGACTGTGCAGTTCCACAGATCCAGTGTAAACTAGGAAAAATTATATTAATACAATGATACCATTCATTTGTATCTATTATTTTTAGTAAATATCTGGATCCTACAAGGATGCCAAATACAGAAGATTGACTGGAAGCTAAAGTTATTTTGAATATTGTGGTCTATGCTAGCTTTATCATACAAAGATCTGTGTGTATCATGCGTGTGTTATTAGCACACTGGTGTACAGAGCAAGACATGGAACTTATACTCTCATTAGGAAAGGAGGCTCAGCAGCTTTCATATGTGTTGCCTTTGTCAAAACTTTGGAATCTCCTGGAGGGACAGAG